AAACCCTAAACCCTGGAACCCTATAGATCCCTCAAAGGAAGCCTTAAAAGAATCCCCAACAAGATGCCTTAAAGGAGCCCGAAACTCCTAAACCCTAGACCTCTCAAACCCAAACCCTGCTATAGAATCCTATAGTGCCTATATAGATCCCTTAAACGAAGCCTTCAAGGGACCCCTGTAGAACCCTAGTGCCCTTTAAAGGGAGGCCTAAACCCTAAACCCTAAGCTCCCAAACCCCTAAACCCTCAAACCCCAAACCCCAAACCCTAAACCCCTAAACCCTAAACCCTAAACCCGAAACCCCCAATCTCCAAACCCTAAACCCCCAAACCCCCAAACCCTAAACCCCTAAACCCTAAACCCTAAACCCCCAAACCCCCAAACCCTAAACCCCTAAACCCCCAAACCCCCAAACTGCACAACCCTAAACCCCAAAGCGCCTGGAATCGCTCCCGGAATGGACTGCACCCAGGGAGCAATCACATAGCTCGTGTCCATCGCCTCAGAAGGTTGGGTTTTTGGTTTAAGGTTGAGGGTTTAGGGTTTTTGGTTTAGGGTTTAGGGGTTTTGGTTTAAGGTTTAGGGTTCTAGGTTTAAGGTTTTTGGTTTAGACATCGCCTCAGCCGATTGGGTTTAGGTTTTAGTCTTAGGGGCTTTTGGTTCAGGGTTTAGGGTTTTCGGTTTAGGGCTTTGGGTTTAGGGTTTTTGGTTTAGTGTGTTTTGGTTTAGGGTGTTTGGTTTAGGCTTTGGGGTTTAGGGCTTCGGGTTTAAGTTTAATCCCTCTACCCTTGCGGTTTGTAAGGGCTAAGGGCTTTGGGTTTGGGATTCGGGGTTGGAGCTGGCAAGTACCCTGCCCTCTTATGGTTCACATAGGGTTTAGGGCGTCATCGCCAAACATGAAACCCTAGACCGTCGGCGGTCTCGCCACTGCTTCGTTGCACCCTAAACCCTAAACCCTAAACCCTAGGGTTTACGGTTTAGGGTTTAGGGATCTCTTGAAGGGAACCATTTTCATCCGGAGACGTCGGCATCGACGTCCGCGTTGGTGCGTGCAAGCACTCCTGCGTGCCGGCACCACAGGTGGATCGCCAAATATGAACCAGGCACGCTAGGGCACACTTTAAGGTACTGTCACCCATATAGCTCCATTTTAGTTGCTTTTTGTGGTTTATATTTAGGATCTTATAAGGTAACCCCTGAAAGGAACTACAAAGGAGCCTATGGGTAAGGAGTCGGGACACCTCGCTGTCCCTCACCATAAAGCTCTCCTAAGCCTAAACCCTGCTGCAACCCTGTCTGAAGCCCAGTGCTCCCTAGATCCTAGATAAACCAAAACCGTAAATCCCCATACCAAAGGTAAGCCTTGTAGCCTTTTGGCATTATGTCCACACCATGAAGGTGCCCCAAAACCGAAAACACACACAGCGAAGAGAATTCATGCCTACACCCTAAACTCCAAACCCTACCACCCCCCAAAGTGCCGTTTAGCAGAGAGCTTAGGGATTTTAATGGGTACTTACGGTATGATGGAGGTGGTTGGGGGGGTTTAGGCAAACCCTTGAACAACCCTAAAACTAACCATGTTTCAGAAAACTCTAAAACTAACCATTTCTCAGAACACCATACAACTAACCACTTTTCAGAAAACCCTGAAACTAACCATTTCTCAGTCTAATGACCCACGGGTTCATGTAGCCGGCCATGGGAACGGGGGTAAACTGGATGTTCTCCGGACAAATCTCCTGGGAAGCAACAGCTTTTAGAGCTTCGGGTTTAGGGCAAAATCGGGTTTTAGGGTTTGGGGTTTTGCACACCACAGCTGCCCTCTACTGAACCCTAAATACCCACGATGAAGGACCATAATTACTCTATTCAGGGGCACCTGGTCCTGGTAAGATTTAGGGCTTAGTTTAGGGTTTAGGGTTTAGGGTTTAGTGTTCCGCTTGGACTTTCTGTTTTTGGAGTATCCTGAAAGCTCTAAGGACGAGTATTGGAGGCTTTGGGGCTGGGGTGGGGTCCAAAGGCCATGCAACGCTTTTAGGGTTTAGGGTTTAGGGTTTAGGGCTTAGGGTTTAGGGTTTAGGGTTTAGGGTTTAGGGTTTAGGGTTTACCAAACCCTGAGTTTCGTTTCTTGGAGGGAGCCTTGTAACAGTAAAAGAGCCACTAACAGCAACGTTAAACCCGCCGTAAGGCCCTTGTAGCAAGCCATCGCTTTAAAGGAACCCCCCAGCAAAGGCCCCCCCCCACACACGTAAGACCTCTATAGAAATCCATCGCTTTCAAGGAATCTGGGGTTTAGGGTTTAGGGTATCTCAGTGACCCCTTAATAAGTACCCTTTGCCCTGTCATTCATTCGAACATAACAAGGGAACCATACAAAAATAAAGCGGGGCAAAAGGGTCCTACTCAGGAACCCTGGTGTCCCTGGTATAAAACCTTATAGTACCTTCAAAGGGAGCCCTATTATAGAATCGCCCCCAAACCCAAAGCACCAAACCCAAAACCCAAAACCACAAAACCCAAAAACCCCAAACCCAAAAACCCAAAACCCCTAAACCCTCAACCAACAACCGCCAACATAGAATCGCCTTAAACCCTTAAACCCCTAACGCCTTATACCCTAAACCCCTAAACCCTAAACCCCTAACGCCTTAGAAGGAACCCCAAAAAAAAGAATCGCCCAAGACCCCTAACGCCTCATACAGGAACCCCCCCTCAAAAAAAAACTAAACCCTAAACCCCTAACCAACAACCACCAACATAGAATCGCCCTGAACCCTTAAACCCCTAACGCCTTATACCCTAAACCCCTAAACCCTAAACCCCTAACGCCTTAGAAGGAACCCAAAAAAATGAATCGCCCTAAACCCCCGACGCCTTACACAGGAACCCCCCAAAACCCAAAACCCCAAACCCCAAAACCCCAAAAACACAAAAACCCAAAACCCCAAACCCAAAACCCCTAAACCCCTAAACCCCAAACCCCTAAGGCCTAACCCCCCAAAAAAGGGCCCACTCTCCTGGGGCGCATTGCTCTGGGTCGCCTCAGGGGAGCCTGGCGGCGCTCACACAAGCCTTGGGGCCTTGCAGTTTAGGGTTTAGGGTTTAGGGTTGAGGGTTTAGGGTTTAGGGGAAAGGGTTTAGGGTTTGGGTTTAGGGTTTAGGGTTTTCTGTCTGTCTTTCTGTGTCATTCAGCTGTTATTGACTGGGGCCAGTATCCAACCTAAACCCTTAGAGAAGCCTTGATGAAACCCTAAGGGTCCAAGCACCGAATACTCATATACTCTGCAAACCCTAAACCATAACCCCTAAACCTAGATAACTACCATCCGCAACCAAAGAACCTTATTATTGGGTCCCTAAACCCTAAACCCTAAACCCTAAAACCTAAACCCTAAACCCTAAACCCTAAACCCAAAACCCCAAACCCTAAACCCTAAACCCGGCTAAGACATCCTGGGAGCTTCTGCAAGCAGAAGCCATCCT